TTACAGGTCAGGACACATGCCCAGGTTGTGGGTTTGATTGTCAATTGGGTTGTGTGCAGAAGGAACCGATCAATGTTTCTCTCACACATCAATGTTCCTCTCTCTTTCTCTCTCCCTCTCCCTTCCTCTCTAAAATCAGTAAGACAACAACAACAACAAAAACGTATCCTCAATTGAGGATTTAAAACTTTTTAATAGTTTATAGAAATAGAGCAGTAAAATAATTTCATATAAGAGCTATTTATTATTTAGGTGTCATAATGTGCTAATTAGATCAGATAGCCGAGTGACCTTCTGGACATCATTTCAGAATCCTTCTGGACAAAGCTGCCACAATGGGGGCCAAGGCAGAGGCAGTTAGGGGCAATCAGGAAGGCAGACAAATGGTTAGGGGTAATCAGGTAGGCAGGCAAGTGATTAAGAGCCAGCAGTCCCAGATTTCAAGAGGGATGTCCAACTGCTGATTTAGGTCCAATTCCATAGAAATTGGGCTTAAACCAGCAGTTGGACATCCCTCGAGGGGTCCCGGATTATGAGAGGGTGCAGGCCGGGGTGAGGGACACCTCCTACCCCTCCCGTGCATGAAATTCGTGTACTGGGCCTCTAGTAGCTACTATAATAATAAATACAAACATATTTATATAAATAAAATAATATAAAAACCCCCGAGATCGGTTTGGCTCAGTGGATAGAGCATCGGCCTGTGACTGAAAGGTCCCAGGTTCGATTTCGGTCAAGGGCATGTACCTTGGTTATGGGCACATCCCCAGTAGGGGTTGTGCAAGCGGCAGCTGATCGATATTTCTCTATCATTGATATTTCTAGCTCTCTATCCTTCTCCCTCTCTGTAAAAAAATCAATAAAATATATTTTTTAAAAATAATAATATAAAAACCACCCAATACATTGCTGGTTTATTTTTAGAGTTTCATTGTATTTATGCCAGCTGATACAGATTTTTCCATTTATAGTGGTGATAAAATAATAACTATAATATGAACACAAAATAGCAGTGATGGCTGTTGCTTAATGAGTGCTTAAAGCAGCCGTTCCATGCAGAGAATATATTTATTTTATCATCAAATTTCCTTCAACTTTTTTAGGCAGGTAGGATTGCAATCTCCAGTTTTACCAATGAGGAAATTGAGGCAGAGAAGAGCAAAAAAAAAAACACAAAAAAACAAAAAAACAAAAAACAACAACAACAAAAAAAAACTTGCTCGGTCACATGATCAGTAAGTGGCAGAGCCAGAATTTGAACGTGGGAAATCTGGCTGTATTCTCATAACCAGTATGGTGACATAGAGTTTCCATTCAAAACACAATTATGCAACTCTTTAAAAATCAAATGGGTTTGAAAAAAACAAACAGTAAGTGCTAATAGTAGAAATGGTTAGCATATGCTAACATTCATGAAGGTGACACCGAATGACTAAATTTCCAAAAATAAAATGAAACAAACTTAGGCCAACTCCACGTGCACACGAGAAAAGAGGCGCAGAGAAGGAAGGCACCTGCCCCAGGTGGCACAGTGAAGTGGAGCCTGGGGACCAATCCCCAGGGAGAGCTGGGTGGTGTGGGAGGGGCATGTGGCGGGGGAGGGGTGCTGCTAAGGCCCAGTGTTATTTCCCTGTCTCCAGCGTGTCTGTGCTCATGGATGTTAGACATGGACCTCTAACTCCCTATTTCCGTTCCCAGCGCTATCATCAGGATTGCACGCGCTGGGGGTAAATAACAGTTGGAGCTTAGCCTTGCATGGGGGAGCATTGGAAGAGGTTACCAGGCCAGGCGAGCCAACCACTCTCCACATTAAAGACCCTCTTCCCCTTCAGTGTGAAAATAACCCCTCCTGGTACTTTCATCATCAAGTACCTGAGCTCACTACCAGGACGGTGCCAGTGGGGGCTGAAGCGTTGTCCCATTACAGATCAGGGCACATGCTCAGGTTGTGGGTTTGGTTGTCAATTAGGTTGTGTGCAAGAGGAACCTATCAATGTTTCCTACACTCATTCATCCTACAAACAGTGATGGAGCTGTCTTGTGTCCAGCCCTGTGTGGGTACTGAAGACACAGCGGTGACACTGACATTTGTCTAAATGCCCTGGGCTAGGGTTCCCTGTTGTACAGCCTCCTGGCATCTTGCTGGGCTCGAGAAATGCCATCTTCCTCCTCTTCTAAGGCCCAGTGCTATTTCGTGTTATTTCCCTGTCTCCAGGGACCCCTGCTATATATATACATGAAGATTCTTATTTATTCTCCTCTTCCTTTACATTCCTCCTTGATACATGGACTCGGAGCTGGGGCGCCCCGAATGGCCTCCATTATGCCTCTTGAAGGTTGAAAATCATATCCATGGATTCTGTTATTGTGTCTGGATGGAAACCTCTGGCCTTGTTCAACTTGCCTGTGTTACAGGTGGAAAAGCTGTGGTTGAGAGGGGACTCTTTGGTTCAATTTTCCACAACATTTACTGAGCATCTATTGCCGAAACTGGTTTGGCTCAATGGTAGAGCATCAGTCTGCAGACCGAAAGGTCCCAGGTTCAATTCCGGTCAAGGGCATGTACCTTGGTTGCGGGCACATCCCCAGTAGGGGGTGTGCAAGAGGCAGCTGATCGATGACTCTCTCTCATTGATGTTTCTAACTCTCTATTCCTCTCTCTTCCACTCTGTAAAAAATCAATTAAAAATATTTTTTAAAAAAATTTATTGAGCATCTATTTTGTGCCAGGGACTGAAGACCCTGCACATGTGTCAAACACAAGGCCCGCGGGCCAAATCTGTCCCGCCAGGCCTTGCAATGTGGCCCGCACCGTGCTGTCATCACTGCACTCCGCTGCGTTTCCATCACAATGACAGTTTATGACTGTTCAGTAAACCATTCGGCCCGCGATTTAGGCTGGATTTTAGATTTTGGCCCCTTCTCTGATTGAGTTCGACACCCCTAGGAATAGGAGCCAGTGCCTGCTGTGTCAGTTTCTGTTGCTGCTGAAGCAAATGATCACAAACGTAGTCACTTAAAGCAACTTGAGTCAGTTGTCTTGCGGTTCTATAGAGCAGGAGTCCGTGGGGGTCTCCCCGGGCTCACACCAGGCGTTGGCAGGCTGCATTCTTTTCCAGAGCCTCTTGAGAGAACCTGCTTGTGTTTTCCAGCCCGGAGAGCCATTTGCATTCCTTGGCTGTTTCTCCATTTTCAAAGCCAGCAGCGTCACATCTCTCTGACCCTTCTTCCAGGCACATTTCCCTCTGACTCCCGCCTCTTCTGTGCCTTCTTGCACTTTTGAGGACCCTTGTGATTGGACTGAGCTCCCCCCCCCTCCCCCAGGACCCCCCATCCCTGGACGCAGCCATCCAGAACGCCCTGACAGGTCTCTACCCTCCTTTTGAGGCCACAGCGCCCACTGTCCTGGGGCAGGTGTTCCACCTCCTGGACTAATCTCCTTTAGATCAGCCAATCATCAATCTTTATTTCATTTGCAACATTCATTCCTCTTTGCCCTGTAAGGTAGCATGTGCACAGGTTCCAGAGACTAGGATATGGGCATCTTAGGGGACCATTATTCTGCGTACCATTCCTGTTCTCAGGGAGCCTGGAGTTCATTGAGGGAGTCAGCAAACACGGGGGGAATTGCTATGACAGGGGCACCATGGAAGCCCAGAAAAGCTGACCTAGGGGGTATGGTGGGGGGGAGGGGAGGTCAGACTTGAATCCTGAAGGATGAGAAGGAGTTAGCCAGATGAAGAGGGGATGGAGGTGGAAGGCATCCTGGGGGAAGGAACAGCATGTGCGAAGGCCTGGAGGTGAGTGAGGGAATGCATGTGTCATCGTGGCAGAAGCATGAGAGGGGCAGTGAGGCTGGAGGGGAGACCAGAGGGGTGCACTGTGGCAAGACCATGAGGATCTGGATGCGGGAGGGTGATGGTTTCTGAAGGTACTCGGAACCTTTAACATTCTGAGCAGGAGGCTAAGGAGGTCGGGCTTGCATTTGAGAAAGGTGACTGGAGTCTTGGTAGAATGGCTGGCAGTGAGGCTGACTAGAGGTTGGAAGCCTAAGAGGAGGTGATTCGATGGAACAGGTGATGGGGGACCTGGATCAGGGCGGGGGGGCGGGGGAACAGCGCAGAGCCCAGCGAGTGTATTGGTGAGCTACTGGAGGCAAGAAGACTGGACAGGACATGGCTGAGGGCTGTTTGTGGGCAGGGGAGGCGGAGGGGGCAGCATGGTAAGCAGGCTTCTGGACCTGGCAGCTAATTGATGGTGGGCTCATTGCTGACGCAGAGACAAGGGGAGGGGCGGAGGGGGAGGAGTAGGTTGAGGAAGGTACTGAGCTGAGTTTAATATTGATGGTCTGTGTCTGATAGACCTGTAGGGGAGGTGTCCAGAAAGTAGCTAGATATATGAATCTGGGACTCATATATTAATTATAGAGACTGGTATCAATTAGTTATTGATGTGTAACAAGCCACCCCAAAACTCAATGGTAAAAAACAGCCACTTATGATCACTCAGGCACATGCATACTGACTGGGGTTGTGTGATCTAGAAACACCTTCACTGGTAGTTCAGCTTCAAAATGCAGGTCTGCAGGTCATCCTGGTGGCAGGATTGGCAGTTGCTGACCTTGCCTTTCCCTCTGACCCTGACCTGGATGCCTTCCTGCATTCCTCCATTGCACCTTGGACTAGAGAATGACGTTTGAGCAAAGACCTGCAGGAAGTGAGGCAGTGAGGATGTCTTGAGGAAGAGTATTCCAGGCAGAGGGAACAGCCCATACAGAGGTTCTGAGGTGGGATTGTCGCCTGTGCTGGAGGCACAGAAAGGAAGCCAGTGTGGCTGGAGGAGGTGAGTGAGGGGCAGGAATGGGAGAGGAGGTCAGAGAGTTACCAGGCCATAGTCATAGGGGGCCTGGAAGGTCATGGGAAGTGGCTTCTACCCTTGTAAGTACTGCTACTTTCACTTTTATCCTCTTCTCCTGTTCTTCCCCCCCCCCCCTCCCCCAGGACCCCCCATCCCTGGACGCAGCCATCCAGAACGCCCTGGCAGGTCTCTACCCTCCTTTTGAGGCCACAGCGCCCACTGTCCTGGGGCAGGTGTTCCACCTCCTGGACGCTGACTTCCGAGGGGACGGGCTGAGCTTCCTTCTGGATTTCCTGATCCCTGCCAAGCGCCTGTGCGAGCAAGTCCGAGAAGCAGCCTGTGTAAGTCCGAAGGGACGCCCTCAAACGGAGCAGGAGGGCCACTGGCCCTTTACTCGCTGACATTCAGGAGCCCATCAAGTGTTTGCACTTGTACTAGCAGGGAGGAAGGCATGCATAGAGGGTCGTGTGGGTTCCCCGGCCCCCGGGAGCCTGCCTTGGGGTTGGCATTGTGGGCATCTCCAGGCTGCCTTGGCTGAAGTGGAACAGCTTCAAAAGAAATAGCAGAGAATGTTCCAGACCTTCCCCAGAGCCCTGGAGGCCTTTCGTCCTAGATCCCTTCAAACCCAGGCTCCGGAGGTAAAGTGGAGAGAAAAGCGTTTTAGGCAGCACTCATTGACTGAAAATGATGGGTTCTGAGTAAGGGACAGGGTGATCTGGCCTCTGCCCCAAATTTAGCCACTGATCAGTTTCCTTAAAGACCTTCTGTCTCTGCTTCTTCTTGCTAGCCAGTATCATTTTTAGAGGCTGTGTTCCCATAAGGCTGGAGCCCAGGACCAATCTGGGTTCAAATCATCTCCTAGAGGGGAAAATGAATTCTTTCCCATCAACAGCAGATAGAAAAATTGCAAGGGAGGATCCTGATTGGCCAGACTTGGGTCCCCATGTTTATCCCTGGACCAATCACAGCAGCCAGATTATATAAAATTATCAGGGAGGGCTCAGACTTGATAGATGGGAGGAGAAGGGAGCAGGAGTCAGTAGGACAATCCTCATGGGTTAGGGATTTGCTAACCAGTGCCTAGAACTCAAGCTTTTCTCTCCTGGACCAGTAGGTTAGCAAGTGTTTTTAAGGTCAGGGCCAGGACCAGGGTGAGGCAAGAGGCACCAAAAGTACAACATGTCAGAGGCACTCACTTTCAGGGCTTCTTAAATGCTATATCCTAGGCACCTTTCTTGCCTCACCTTAGCCCTGACCTGTTCAAGATACCTTCTCGGAGAGGAAAGGGAGCAGATCCACAGGTGGGGTTTCAGGGTCAGGTTCTCTGACATCACCCCCTTCTCTCTGCAGGCCCCCTACACACACTGCCTCTTCCTGCATCAGGGCTGGCCGCTGTGCCTGCAGGACAAGGTTGTGGCCCACCTGGCCCCCCTCAACCCCCTCTTACTGCGCCCGGGTGACTTCTACCTTCAAGTTGAGCCTCAGGAGGAGCAGTCTGTCTGCATCATGATCAAGTGCCTCTCGTTAGACCTCCGCACAGTGGACACGAAGCCTGTTCCCGCGTCAGCCTACCCGACACTGTTCACCCAGGAGTGGCTGGAGGCCTTCAACAGTGACTTTGAAGGAAGCCCCCTGCACAACTGCCTGGTAGCTTCAGAAGAGGGGATTGTTCCTGTGCCCTGGACCAAGATAACTAGCCCAGAGTTTGTGGATGACAAACCCCAGGCAGGGACTGTTCTCTTTCCGACTTGGGGTTCCCTTCAATTAGAGGCCCTGGATTTGAGTGGCCCCCAAGAGCTGCATCAGGCCAGGTCCCCAGGCAGCCAGGTGCTGCTTGGCCAGAGCTTGGCCAAGGGTAAGGACAAGACACCTGAGATTAAGTACCCTGGACTTATCAAGGTGGAGCAAGCCAGGCCTGGGGAGGCGGCCTTCAGGATGGACGATGTGGCCAGCCAGAACTTAGAGGGAGAGTATGTGGCTCTCCTGGACTTTTCCCAAGAGAGCAGAGGCGAGCCTGTGAGTAGGGAGGTGGACACACCCCACAGCTGTCCTATTGGGTCACTGGAGGAGCTATCTGGAACTAAAGAAATCTTTTCGCCCCAAGGGAGGCTGTCTCTCTCAGGGGCCAGTGGGAGACCTCCCCTGAGAAAGTGTGCTTGTGCAAAGCCAGCAAGCTTGGAGGAAGATCCCTACATTTTGAGCTTGAAGAGAAAGGTTGACCATAAAGCCCCCTCCCACAACGTAGAATGCCAGCCCCAGGAGCCCTACCTCAACGCCCTTGAGAACCCACTGCACTGTGCCTCTGGCCTCAGGACAGATGTCTCAGAAGAGTCCGCTGGCTCCAAGATGCAGGGACCTCTGGGAAACCCAGAGAATGTGGTCCAGCTCAGGCCTGGGCAGAAACAAGCATCCTGTCCCCAGCTGTGCCCAGCTTGCCCTTCTGCTGCGCCAGCCCTTGAAACCAAGATGGGAGAGAGGACCAAACAGGGAAGTGGGAGGTCTCCCAAGCCCATGACTGGCCCTGGCCGAAACACCTCCTCTCCCAGATCCCCATCGCTCGGACTCAAATTCTTATTCTTGAAGGGGCAGAGGCAAGCTCCCGGGCCCCCGGAGAGAGCCTCGCTCCAGCATAACGGGCCCTGGAAGGTCTTGTGTTCACTCTACTCTCCCAAACCCAACCGAGCCAAGTGCTTGGAGAAAGGTAAGGTGTCCACCTGCATAGCTAGACAGGGGAACTGTCCTCTGACCAGACCAAGTGACAAGGTGGTGCAGGCTGTTAGGGACACAGACCCACCTGGCTGCTCGGTCTCGGCAGTTCAGAGCACTGGGTGGCTTGTCAAGAGGCTCTGGGATTGAGCAAGGTGTTATGACTGTGTTTTGATGGCTTGGAGTCCACACACCAGGTTGGATGACCTTGGTCAAGGACTTAATTTCTCAAAGTTCAGTTCTCCCTCTCTGAGCAATGGAGATCTTACCTGCCTCACAGAGTTTGTTTGCTTGTTTATTTCAACATATTTTTATTGCTTTCAGAGAGGAAGGGAGAAGGAGAGAAAGATAGAAACATCAATGATGAGTGTCTATATAAATCTCTTTCACGGCCCGCATGGAAAGAGTTCCAATTCAGGGTTCGCACAAAAATGAAGAGACTTGAGACTTGAAGAAATTCAACTTGACGATATGGAGGGCCAGGCAGTAGTCCAACTCTAGTGGGAGAATTACTCCTGCTCTCACCCTGCCATCCCCTTTTATCAAGGCTTTGGGGAAAACATCTTAGGCAACATAAACAGAAATTTATGTGTAGCCCTAAGGCAGGAAATAACAGAAGCTTTACACTGGACAAGCAAGGTGGAAGTTGCTTCAGCTAACAATATCTCAACTAAATGTTAGAGCAATTGAGGTTGTTGACCAGCCTTCCTGGCTTCCTGTCCACATCTCCTTTTAGTGAAACTGATTTGTTTTCCAGCAAGTGTCATTGATCGGCTGCCTCCTGCAAGCCCCACACTGGGGATCAAGCTGCAGCCAGGGCATGTGCCCTGACCAGGAATTAAACCGTGACCTCCTGGTTCATAGGTTGATCCTCAACCACTGGGCCATGCCAGCCGGGCATTACGGACTTGTTTTGAGGTTCAAAGAGACACCAGAAGGAAGGAGCTTTGCACAATGCCTGGCACACAGTAGGAGAGCAATAGTTGTAAGCTATCATTATTAGACAGAAGGACATTCCTCTCCTCCCCTCCCCCCCCCCCCCCCGAAAAAATCCATCTTCTGCTTAACACCCTTTCCTTTGTTGTTACTTCTCCCCAGCTGGAACAACTCACACCAAAACATCTGGCCCAGCTGCTGACTCAGGCCCACGGGCTGGAGGAAAGGCTGATTTCCCAGAAGCTTCTTCAGAAAGAGGCCCCACTCTGGATGAGGAGCCACCAGGGCCTGAGCCCCGGATCGGGGCTCTGAGTACGGAGATCATCCACTCCCGGATAGCGTGCCTGCCAGGTCCTCGGGATTATAGGGGCAGGTGGAGCGGGAGGGTATTTGGGGTGAGAGTGGATCCCTGGGCATCCTCAGATGTTGGCGGGTGTGGGAGAAGACATGGAAAGCTCCAGAGACCAGTGTTCTGGACTGAGCCTCCCTGGGACTCGGTTTTCTCATCTTTCTAATGAAGATGTTGGATTATACAGGGTGGGGCAAAAGTAGACTTACAGTTGTTCATATGGAAAGTAATACAATCATTAACAAATAATAATACAAAAACAGACTCTGTGTTTCATGAACTCACAACTGTAAACCTACCTTTGCCCCACCCTACATAAAAGCATTTTCTAGATATCTGTCCAAATATTCATCCATCCATCCACCTAACCACCCACTCACCCATCTATCCATCCAAACATCCATCCATCCACCCACCTATTCATCCTTCCATCCATCCATCCATCCATCCATCCATCCATCCATTCTTCCATCCTTCCATCCTTCGTCTCACCCATTCATCAACTCATGTACATACAGTCTACTTTCAACAAGGCAGGGAAAGTGTTTGTCTTAGGTCAGGTTCCCTAGAAAATGAGCCAGAGACAGTGATCCTATTGAAGGTTACTCTCAGAAGGGCAGTGAGGGAAGCAGGTCGGGGTGGGGGAGGAGCTTTAGGACCAAGGATGTGGCCTGACCCCACAAAGCTGTTTCCATAGTAAGGTGCAGGCAACTGGTCATTTGTGCCCTCATCTGTTCATCATCAAGCCAGGCTGATCCTGGGATGGGAGGCAGGGTGAGCCCATAATCCAGTTCAGCTGAAGGGAAGGCAAATCTTCAGAGAAGAGGGCATCTGTGAGCCATTTCCAGCCAATACTTGTAGCCGTGGGGGGATGAGTGACCTGAGGGGGTCTGGGTGGGGCATTAACAGCATCCAGCACAAAGGGCATTATCATTTTCTTTTAACACTTATTCACCTTTGCAATTAATATTTGCTGAACACCTGCTGTGTGTCAGGCCCTGAGCTTAGCACTGAGGATTCAGCAGGAAGCAAGTCTGATGTGTTCTCTGCTCTCAGAATGTCTCTGTGCTAATGGTGGAGAAAATTCAACAGGTCACTACCACTCAATGTAAAAAAACTTGTGACAATGGGGCCAAACAGGAGACTGTGGGGGAACAGATCCCATGAGCATTATCTCCTGGGTGCCCAGGTCAGAGGGAGTCCAGAGGAGGCGAGGCTATCTCTGCATGGAGGAGGAATTCAGGGATGACTTCTCTGAGGAAGTGGCTTTTGAGCTGGGTTGTGAAGGATGAATAAGAGTTTAGAATGAATGGACCAGAGTGGGGGTTGGGTAGGAAGGGACCAGTGTGGGCAAAGGCCTGGAGGCCATCAAGAGGCCCCAGTCGAGAGGGTGCACCAAAGTTCTCACTGCACATGTGTGTCCTCTCTCCTCCAGGTGGTCGGGACAGGGCTGGGCGGCCCCTGCTTCTGCTGTCAACTACCCAGAAGGCTTGGGAGGCACCATGGTGCACAGCCTCTGAGGTCACCAAGCTGCTCTCCTACCTGTGCACTGTCCCCAGGTAAGAGGCTGGGCTGGGTGGCCACTCCATCCTTCCAACCTCTCAGCATAGAGCCTAGGATAAGGCAACCAGTGGACAGACACCATATCCTTCCAGCCAATCGTCTTTTCCCAGAGCCAGTCCCCAGATGGTGGAGACAAAGCAGGACACGCTTAGTCCCCGCCAGTGGGATCCCAGGCTGGTCAGGGAGGCAGATGATGTGCCAAAAAAAGGAACCATGGGCAAGCAATTCTCAGGAGTGTTCCTGTGGTGAAGGAAACAGAGAGCTATTGTAGGTCAGTGATTTTCAAACTCGAGCTTGCCTCAGAGCCTCCTGAAGGGCTGTTAAAACAGCACTGAGACCCACCTCCAGAGTTTCTGATCTAGTGAGTCTGTGGTGGGGCCTGAGAATTTGCATGTCTAACTAGTTTTCTGATGATCTTAATGCTGCTGGACTGTGGACCACCTTTTTAGGACCATGGTTGTAGAGTGAGAGGGGGGAGGGGACTAATTCCAGTTCCCTGAGGAGGTGATAACTGAGAGCTGATATCTAAATTATAACTATTTGTGCTCGCTTCAGCAGCACATATACAAATTATAACTATTTGTTGAACAAATGGAGGACGACTGAGTGAATGAGTGAACAAATGAGTGAGAGAGTGAAAGAATGGGTGAGTGAGTGAGTGAGTGACCCAGGCTGAGTTCTAACCTCCCACCCCACCATTTGGACTTCATGTTGGACTGGCTAGGGAAGAGGTACCATCCTTTCTTCTGAGTCTCAGCCCCAGTCAGGCGGTCTCAAAAGTGATGTTTGCTCAGGGCTATGGTTATTGAACCCAACCCAACCTAGAGGTTCTGCTGCTAGGGGCAGGGAGCGGAGGGACTGATGGACTTCTCCATGCACTCCACCCCATGGAAGGCACCACCTCCACCAGCTGGCCACTGAGATTTTTCTTCCTTTGTCCAAGGCGGAGTGGCTTTTCTGACCTTACAGGGAGATGGGACCCCCTTTTCAGTGCTGAGAAGTGGCCAGTGTGGTACACAAAACCCTGGAATCCCACTAGCTTGCTGTGTGATCTGGGGATAGTAACCTCCCCTCTCTGAGGCTCACCTGAAAAAAAAGGGGGGGGGGGACCAAGTGTGGGCACAGAAGGTGGAGTGAGCTGCAATGTAAACTGGAAGGCGGTGTCCTCAGGGCTCCTGTGTGCTGGGCTTGCGTTTCTCTCCTGCTTTGAATCAGTGCTGCTGGCATCTGTTCTGTGCCTGGCTTCCCGCCGGGGCATTCTAGGGACCCAGACGCTCCCCACAGTGAGTCCTGGGCCCTCGGGGCCTCTAGGCTGGTGGCAGAGGCAGATGTGGAAATAACCCGCTCTCCCATGAGGCAGAAACTAGTCTCCCCATTTGCAGATGGGTAATGGGCCCCCAGCTTAAAGGGACAGCATGCCCAGGTGACCATGTACCAAGGCAGGGCCACAGCTGTGCCCCACGCTGGCCACCCCTGGTTCTGTCTGTGAACAGGCGTGTAAGGCTTGAAGGCAGTGGGTTTATTTTCTCAACCTGCCTGGTGGTCAGAATAGCCAAGGGCGCTTGGGAGCCCACAGACTCCCTGGCTCCACCCCTTACACCCGGATGTCTGGGTGGACTGGGTGTGGCTGGGGCTCAGGGATCAGTATTTTAACAAGTTCCAACAATTGGCCCGCTCGGGAAATCCAAGGTGATGGCTGAAAAGTGCAATGTGAACCAGTTAGGGTGTTGGGCTGCAAGTAACAAATTCCAATTTAAAACGCATTATCAGGTAAGGAAATTTATCATTCTATGTCTCTGCCTTATAGCTCTTTGTAAAAACTTCTTAAAGGAGAGACTTCTTTCCCTGAAGCCCCTCAGCAAACTTGCCATGTTTCACTGGCCAAAAATATGTCACATGACCCTTATCGAAACCTATCATTGGCCAGAGGAATTAGATCCCTATTGTTGGCCCCAACTAATCAGAAACTAGCCCCTGTGGTGGTGGTGGTGGGGGGGGGGGTATAGTCATATGGTGGAACTTGACTCTCATTCTTGAAAATGAGAGTTCTGCCCACACAAAAGGGATAGGTGACTTACCCACTGTCACTGGATAGGGCTTATAGTTTATGATTATTAGGATGTAAGAGAAGGTTGTTCAAGGTACTGTGGGAGCATTGAAGAGAGAGCAATGGGTTCTGGAGAAAAATCCAGGAGGTCTTCCTGGAGGGAGGGGCATTGGATCTTGGTCCTGCAGGATGAAGACTATCAATTAATTAAAGCTTCTAGCAGCCGGTTTCCCTCATTCCACCAGGTCCTTCCCCCTAGAGGGCCTGGTTTATCCAGCAAGACTGCCAGTTCTGTTTACCACCCACAGGCCAGAAGACAAAACCAAGGGGCTGGCGGTGGTGATCGATGCCAGGAAGCAGCCTCTACACCCAGTCCTGGTTGATGCCTTGAAAGCCACCCAGGTGAGGGAGAGGTGGACAGCATCAGCCTAGGAAGTCTTGGGAGCACCAGGGGCCTTCGGGTACGCATGGGGTCTGGGACCTCAGAGCTGGGTCCAGGCTCCCAGGCAGGGACTCCTCGTGGCAGCTAGCAGAGACCCAGCCCAAACAGGCTTAACGAGGAAGGTTCTTCATTGGTTCACATGATTCCATAGTCCAGGAGTTAGATCCAATGTCAAGTGTGGCCTCATTCGGGGCCTCCAATATTGTCACTCAAATATTCTCTCTCCATTTCTGGCCCTGTTCTCTTGGGAGGCTGCCCTTCTCCGCCAGGCCCCTCTCTTAGCGACAATCTGGCTCCCAGAAGTTCTACCTTTCCCTGGTCTTGCATTCAAGTCCCCGTAGGAAAGAAAGATCCTTTTCCCAGAAGTCCCAGCAAAAGTTTTTTTTGTGTCTCCTTAACCCTGATTGGCTCAGGTGTTGGGAAAATGCGACGCACTGATTGGCTTAGACTTAGGCCACCTGAACCTCATGAACTGAGAATAGGGGAGGGAAGAGAATCCTCCGGAGCTGGTATGGGCAGCAGAGTAAATAGAATTTTGGTTTAAACTCACCTCAGGGTCTGACCTCCTCCTCCTTACTGTATAGACGGGGAAACGGAGGCCCAGAGGGGATGGGTCATCTAGGAAGTTTGCAACCCATCTTGGACCTCTTGATGTCCATTGACACCCTCCACACATACCCTACAAGGGTCCCGGCCTTGCACAATCCCCTCTCCCACTCCCTGGCCCTGTGGCCTAGTCACTTGTGTCATAGGCGGGAAGCTCAGGGCTCAGTGAAGGCCTGGGCAGAGCAGCTCCGAAATGCTTCCTCCGTACAGGCTCTGGACCCAGCCTCCATCCACGTCATGCTCTTCCTGGGGGAGAAGGAGACTGCTCTTCTACTGGAGACATTACCTGACGTCCAGGTGAGGGGTAGGCAGCATCAGGCGAGCAGCGAGGAGGTGTTGGGCTTGCACTGAGCTGGGCTGAAGAATGGCAGGTGTCCCGAGCGAGGAAAGGTACTGTGGGAGCACTAAAGAGAGAGCAATGAACTCTGGAGAAAAATCCAGGAGGTCTTCCTGGAGGGAGGGGTATTGGATCTTGGTCCTGCAGGATGAAGACTACCAATTAATTAAAGCTTCTAGCAGCCGGTTTCCCTCATTCCACTAGGTCCTTCCCCATAGGGTCTATTCTTTGTGTCTCCTTAACCCTGATTGGCTCAGGTGTCAGGAAAATGTGACACAAAGAAATAGACACAAAGAAATACAAGGCTCATGAGCTACATACAACTCTCCAGCCCTGCCCCCCGGCAAACGCAGCAATGCCTGGTGAACACCAACACATGATTGAGAGCTGCACATGGCAGGTTACCTTTTTCCAAAGCTTACTCCAGCCAAACCCTCCCCACTTGCTTTGCTCAAGGGGAAACTGAGGCCCAGGGCCACCCAACAGGCTGGAGGCAGAGGTGCCTGTGCCTCCCAACGGTCCTGTGTTTCTCTCCCTAGTTTCTATTTGTCTCAGCCTCAGTGCAGAGTTGATCTGGGACTTTGCAGGAAAGAACCCGGCCACTCCCTTTCTCCAGTGCCGGGCACCGCGGGCCGTAGTCTGGGCACCGGTGCGCTGCCCGGCTTCAGGAGGTGGTGTTAAAGGGCCCCTCGCTCCCGGTTTGTGACAGGCACATTGTAAGCTAGAGACATGCTTTCCACGCTAGTCAGAGTGCAATCTCCAATGACGTCGTTCTGCTGGGGCCCTGGGACTCTTTGCATCTGTCACATGCTCCCGGGTGATGCCACTGCTGCTGGTCTGTGGACCCCATCTCGGGGACCAGGACTGACTAGTGGACCCCCAAACCACACATCAGCTCAGCCCCACGCTTAGGTGTCTGGAGCTGTCCCCAGCATAAAGCTCCACCTGCACTGCCTGCGAGAAGCAGTCACCTGGTCCCTTCTCGGTGTCTGAGGGGCTGCTGTTAGGGTTTGGTGTCCTCCCTCAACAGCCTCAAGGAGGAGACAGCACCTTGGTGGGTCACCAGAGCGTGGTACAGGATTACAAAGAAGCTAGGGCCAGCTTCAGTCAATCTGTGTGATTGCCTGGAGGGCTGGGCTGGGCAAGAGGGAGCAAGAGCTGTGTCTGATGATGAATGATGTCTGCCTTGGGCACAAGCCAGGAGAGGGGCAAGGCAAGTGCTGTGCTGATTTGCTATTCCTCACCCGGGAGTCTGGCTCTGAATTTTGATTTTTCAGAATTCCCAGAGAAAATCCATTGCCCAGAGAGCAACTCTTAAAGCCAGGGGCAGACTCGCCGGTGGGAGGTGGAATGGTATGGGGGCTGGGGGCTGTCCCCACACCGAGTGCCTGGTCCTCCTGACTCTTTTTGGTCCGCAGGTGGAGATGCTGACCTCCCTGAAGGCCCTCAGCCACCACGTGGACCCCAGCCAGATGCCCGCGGCCCTGGACGGCTCCTTCCCCTACTGCCACAGCGAGTGGGTGCAATTCTTCCAGGTGTCTACCATCTCAGCCTTCCGCCACGCACCCTCACCCCTTCCCTTCCTCCCTTCACCAAACTGCTCCTCGGACCCATCCACGCTGTCAGGTTCAAAACTAGTCACTCAACAAAAGTTTAAAAGGAAGGTGCAGAGCGGAGTGATTGAGAGCTCAGGCTCTGGGGCCCGACTGCCTGGGTTCCAATCCCAGTTCTGCTGTGTGGCCTAGGGTACGTTACACACCTTCTCTGAGCCCACTTCCTCATCTATAAAAGGGGGCGGGTAACCATAGCCGGGAGGGTTGTTGTGAGCAGTAATTGAGTCAATGGGGGTAAAGAGTTTAGAAAAATGCCTGGCACATGCTAAGAGCTTGTCTGCATTCACTGAACATAAATACAGACATCTGCTCTGTGGACCCACACAGCTCTGGAGCTCAGGGTGTGATGGGAAAGGCAGACATGTTCCCTCTTGAAAGAGCGAGGAAATAAGGAAACTGCCAGCGAGGGGCTCCTTTGCCGTGTGATCTCAATTCCTCTGGCCCAAATTAACACCCAGGATTGCGGGGGAGGGGGGAAAGGTGGGTGTCACACAGCAGTACGCAGATTACCAGCTGGAACCCTGCCGGGCAGTGTCGGCCGGGGCGTTCTCTAGACCAGGGCCGCTCGCTCTCAGCATCGTCCACATTTGGGGCTGATCAGTTTTTTGTGGAGAGCGTGATCGGCACCATTCCTGACCTCTGCCCACTTTGACCATGACAAGCAAAATGTTTCCATGCATTGCCCATGTCCCCTAGGGGGCGAAAGTGACTCCCCGCTGAGAGCCACTGGGCTGTACTAACAGTTTACAATGTGGTCCTCTTCTTTTAAACACCGTGTCTGTTTGAAAATGGGCAGCACGTTCAACGTTCACGTGGTGCACAGAGCACTGAAAAATCTCCTCTCCTATTGTCCGCGGGGCCCCGGTTCCCTTCTCCGATTAATCGAGTGACTTTCGAACTACATTTGTGTTTTAAGACTTTCCCTTTAAATGAAACCTTGCCTGTAGAGCCAGAATATAAAACTGGTAATGAGGAAGACCAACACTGTTTGATCCTCACACCAGCCTGTAAGGCAGGAATTACGGTGATCCCATTTTACAGAGGGAGAAGCGGAAGCACAGAGAGGTTAAGTAACTCTCCTAAGGCCTCACAGCGAATATATGGGTGGAGCTGGGCCGAAGTGGGACCCAGCAGAGGATGTCCCCCTTCCCCTATCCGCCCTCTCCCTCTGCCTTCCCCTGCCCCCAGGTATCCCCACTGCAGCCTGGGATAGGGCAGGCCTGTCTGTCTTCTCCCTCTCTCCTTCCCAGCATCGGTGGTTCTCAAAGTGTGGTCCCCGGAGCGGCAGTGTCAGCATCACCGGGGAACTTGTTGCACATTCCCGTTCTCAGGCCCCGCCCCGAGGAACTAGGTCAGAAACACAGGAGTGGGGCTTGGCCGCCTGGACGCTAACCAGCCCTCCGGTGATTCTGACGCAGCAGCTAGAGTTTGAGAACCACCTCCTCAGGCCCCTGCTGTGTCTTCCCGGGTGGGGGAGGTGCCCTCCTCACGGCTCAGGCTGACACCCCCACTCTGGCCTTCTGTCCTGCAGAAGTCAGACCCTTTCCTTGCTGACCTCCGCCAGGCCTCCTCCCTGCTCCAGGCCTCCATCAAGGAGTTTGAGAAGGGTGACCCCCGTGGAGGGGCACAGGTGAGCCAGGGGCATGGAGGGAAACTCACCACACCTCACATTCCTCAGACCAAGGACTCAATGAAGGGAACAGCCAGGCTGGGCTTCATCATCCCTGCTTTACTTTTAAATATATATATATATTTTTATTGATTTCAGAGAGAAAGGGAGAGGTTGAGAAAGATAAAAACGTCAGTGATGAGAGACAATCATTAATCAGCTACCTCCTGCATGTCCCTTCTGGTTCATAGGTTGATGCTCAATCACTGAGCCATGCTTGCTGGGCTCATCCCTGTTTTTCAATCATCCATTTGACTAATATTTACCGGGTACTCGCTGTGTGCACCCAGAGTCCCAGCCTGGGCAAGCCGATTTGTCCCTGCCCTCCTGGGGTGCATGGTACAGAGGTAGAGGTAGTTGTTAAAAAGTGAACGAAGAAATGGGCATGTCATTACAAATTGTGCCAAATGCTATGAAAATAAGGTGGAAACTAATGGGGAAGGAGAGAGGGCCTCCCTGGAGGGATGGTGTTTACATTCAGACCTGTAGGATGAGAAGGAGCCTGCGTAGGCATAGGCAGGGGATGGGGCTCCAGGCGGAGGGCAAGCATGTGCAAAGGCCCTGAGGTGGGATTGTGCTTGCTGTGTTCAGGAATAGCATGGAGGCCAGTGTGGAATGGAATGATTTGGGGGCGAGGGAAGGCGAAAACCAGAAGATTTTCTGGATAGAGGCTGTATCAAGGAGGAGTTGGATTGGTTTTCCTTCCAAGCAGGCAGGGAAACCACTGGAGAATTTTAAGCAGAAGGATGTTTAAATTTGCACTGAGATCCTTCCAGCTGCCATGTAGAGAATGGACTGCAGGGGGAGCCAGAGTGTAGCAGCAAGACCAGGGAGGAGACCAGTGTGCCAACAAGCAATGATGGCACTTGGACCAGTGAGATTGCCATGGCGATGAGAAGAGTGGCCTGAAGAGATGTTTTAGGGATAAAGACTAGACTTTCTGCAGGACTTTGTATGCCAGACTGGGGGAGTTGGGCACGGTCATGGTGTGGGGAGCCCTGGAAGGTGGTAGAGGGGAAGAAGGGAGTAGGTCTCAGGCCACCTCCCTCCACTGGCAGGAGGCCGCCAGGCGTCTGAACAAGTCCAAGGAGCTGATGGAGGCGGTGCTGAGGGACCCGGTTCTGCTGGGCCTCCAGCGGGAAGGCGGGGCCACCCTGGCCAGGCTGCAGCAGGAGGCCAGCAGGCTGGACTTCAACCCAGATGTCAGGTACGGACGCCCCCCCTTTACCTCTCCCATCCCTCCTGTTTCTCGGATGGGAGTGAGTTGCTGGGGGCACTTAGGGTGGGCCCTGCAGATGCCCAGGACAGGGATGTGCGCAGGGCCCATATCCTGTCCCTTCTCTGCTGCCCTCCTTCGGCCCCAGTCAGGGGTGGGCATTGGAGGACAGCCCTGCCTGTTTCCGGTCACACTCATGGACCAGGCACTTCCTCTCCCCAGACACCCAGCTGAGCCTGGACAGGCTCACCATGTGTGAGGTCTCAGAGCCACAGCAAAAACAATTCCCAGAAAGTACCAATTTTCTTAAATTTAGGGGTGGTGTAGGGGCAAATCAGTAATTAAATCAGCCAGTAATTAGAAATGTCTTTGTCTCTGTTAGAACACAAAGTGTGCATAAACTCAAGGACAATCCGTTTATTTAACCAGCACCTAAATGGCACTTAGTATGAGCATAATATTGTGTTAAAGGTTTTACAGATAGTAACTTGTTTAATCCCCACCCATGTGGTGAACCTAGTAGCATTTTCATTTTATAGCCGAGGGGCCTGAGACTCAGAGAGGCTAAGTGACTTGCCCAGCGTCACAGAGCTGGGATGTGGTGGGGCCAGGACTTGAGCCCAGGCAACTTGGCCCAGAAATTTGAGCACACCGCTCTGAGCTGTGCCCACAGGCAAAGTCATGCTGATAGGAGCTCTGGGCAGCAGGGCCCTGGTACCAGGTATGGAGTCGGCCCCCCTGTCCCTCACGTGGCCTGGTGGGGCTGTGGTTCCCAGAATATCCCTTCTCACTGGCCAAGCGACAGGCCCCTGGTGTCAACCAGAGGCCCCTCCAGGCCGTTAGCCACCGGCAGGTCCACCAGGGGGCGCTGTGGTCCCGTGTGAGCCGCTGTGGGTATTTGTTCTGCTGCTGGGTCCCTGCAGCTCCCGCCTACTGCCCTCCCTTTCTTCCTTCCTACCCCCCTCCCTCCACCAGGCAAGCTGGCATTTTCCATCAGGTTCACGCAGCCTGGACCCTCACCTGAAAGGGCAGGGACTGGGAGGAGTATCTGTCAGATGGGGAGGGCCCCGAGCAAGGCAAACAGGCATTCCTTCCATTCCATCTCCCCTTTTTCCTTTTCCTTCTGAAGTAAGACACTCCGCCTTTCCCCTCCCACCCCCCACCCCTACCCCCAACCCCATGAGCAGAAGAGAGTGGGTGGGATGTGAGGGGTGTAAGAAAAGCCTCCCTTTACCCAGGTGTTATCACGCCTGGGTCCCGTCCACAATCCATTTATGTATTCCTGGCTCTGACCGTTTTTTAAAACAATGTTCAGGAAAAGCCATGGCTGGGTGGGTTCCAGTTCAGACTGCCATGTTCGAGGGTCAGTTCCTCTCTATGGACCTCATTCTCCCATCTGTAAAATGGAGGCTGGTGAGGGCGGTGACAGCTGCGCACTATCCCCGCAATAGAAATAACAAGTGCCCGCGAACACTGTAAGCCCAGCCCTGGGTAAGTGTTTTGGATGCAGGAGGCTGGGCCTCAGGCCTGGCTCCTGAGCAGGTTAGGAAGCACTGGTGTCCAGGCTGCGCTCAGACCTGACTCTGCTGGCCTGGGCTGGGCCTGGGCATCGGGATTTTTTAAGCGCGCAGGGCAGATTCTAACATGTAGCCAGGGTTGAGAGTCAAGGAGTTAGATCATGAAATCCTTGCAAGCAGTCTGTGAGGTGGATTCTGTTAGCTCCACCTCTGAGAGATGAAGAAAAAAACAAAAACAAAACAAAAACAGAGGCACAGAAAGGCTGACGAATTTGCACTAGGTCCCATGACTAGAAGGTAGCAGGGCTGGGATTTGAACCCAGATCTGTTCAGTTTGGGTCATACCCTCCTGGGTAAGAGAGTGTCCTTTGGTGTCCTGCTGTGCTTGATGGCCCTCCCAGTCCATGTAGACCAAAGCGGCGGCCCGGAGAGGTGTAGGGACCTGCCCAGAGTCACACAGCAAATCAGCAGCTAGAATACCCAGGTCCGGGCCACAGGCTCGCTGGGAGTTAGGAGGTGAGGCAGGCCTATACTGGGCAGGAGTATTGTGTGGGGAGTACATCTTGGGCCTTCTCTTACCCCCTCCGCCTCCCAGGAGCCACCTGGCTGAAGCCACTGCCCTCTATAGCCTGGTGGACGAACAGCTGCATGTCCTGGTCACCACGTCCAACCACCTCCTGGGGAGGCTGGAGCTCCGCGTCCGCATGGGCCGCCTGGAAGCTGCCATCCACCAGGTGAGGGGGGGTGCCTCCCCGGGACATGTGGGGGCTCCTGCTCCAGGCTCTGCCCCAGCCAGGCACGTGCTCCGGTGTAAGAACATGAACCCCTCATGTCCAAACCTCCCTCCTCGCTTCCCTCCCCCATCCCAGGTCAGCAACTGGATGGAGCAGGAAGGAAGCCGGTGTCTGCAAGCGCTGGCCCCCAAGGATGGAAGCCTGGAGACCGTGCAGAAAGCCCACCTCGAATTTGAGGACTTCTTCCTTCAGGCCGCAGTGAGTCCCTGAACCTGAGGGGCAGGCCTGGAGCAGACGGAGAGAGGGCAGGAGGGGGCGGCATGCCGGGGCCAAGGAGTGGAGGTGGGCAAGTGCATGAAGACTTCCAGAGACAGTGAGGAGACCGGCACGGTCATAACTTATAATAGATGCTATCTCCTCCAGGGTTCAGCTTAGATGCTCTCTCCTCCAGGAAGCTTCTGGAACCACTGAGTCCAAAGCCGACTCATCTCAGAATTCCTGGGGGAACTCCCAGAACAGTGGGGGGATGGAGGTGGGGCCAAACAGGGCAACAGACAGACAGGGGAAACTGTGGGGACCCGGAGCTTTCCAGAAGAGGATGACTCCAAGCAGAGTCCCAGCTAGGAGAAGTACACGGCCTTGGCAAAGGCCGGGGGCCCCGTTGTATAGATGAGGAAACCGAGGCACGGGAGATCTCATCGCTCAGCAGCGGGGCAGCGGGAGGCCTCGGCTGAGGCAGGAGCTGAGGGATGCCCCTCTCCCCACACAGGCCCAGTACCGGCAAGGCCTGGAGCTGTCCAAGCAGGCGGCCCAGCTGGGAGCCTCTGCGGGAGGGGCCGGCGGGGCGGGCGGGGCGGAGCTCCCGGAGCTGGCCGCCTTTGCCTCCACGCAGCGGGCCTTCCAGGCCAGGCTGACCCACTTCTACATGGCTGCTGAGCGGCAGCGCACCGACCTGGAGACGCTGCTCCAGCTCTACCACTTCTGCAAGAAGGTGAGCCCCCCGCCCGCCCGCCTGCACGGCCCGCCCTCCGGCTGGGAGGCGGGGAGCAGCCCAGGCACACACTAGGCGCTTTGCACGCTGCGTTCCACAGCCCATCACCTCCGTTTTCCAGAAGGGAAGCACAGCCTGAGAGGTGAAGTCATCACCTAACTCCAGTCCGTCTGATCCCTGACCCGGTTTAACCCCCTCCGCCAGGCAACCTCCCAGTGACCCTCAGCTATCACTTCTTGCTTTTTTTCTTTTAAATGTGTATTTTAAATTGATTTCAGGGAAGGAGAGGGAAAGAGAGAAACATCAATGCATCGTTGATCGGCTGCACGCCCCCTACTGGGGATTGAGCCTGCAACCTGGGCGTGTGCCCTTGACTGGAATCAAACCTGGGACCCTTCAGTCTGAAGGCCAATGTTCTATCCATTGAGCCAAACCACCTAGGGCTCACCTGCTTCTTAAACATTGGGATTAGGGAAAGGAACCTAGGGATTTCTGAGAATCCAGTCGAAAGCACAGGCTTTCTCTCCACACACGGATCTCTGTAGGTGACCTCCATCTCATCTCACCCTCTGTTACAGATTTGGAGAAACAGCATCAGAGGAGGGCTGTCACTTAGCCAAGATCACACAGCAAGCCCATGGCACCATCAGAGTGCTCTTTCCCAGGCCTTGCCTGCACTGATGGCGCCAGCGGAGAAGGGGGGACAATTGGCTGAGGTTGGCATGTTCAGAACAGAGGCCTCAGTCCTAGCTGGGAACCTGGAGTTTGGCCAGGAGGGTGGAGGAGAGGGTAGGACTACCTTGGTCAGGTAGGGCTGGGGACAAGTAGATGCAAAGTAATGCCAAGAGATGATAGATGCAAAGTAATGGGGTTTCTCTTGCCTCTCATCTCTTGGCAACCCAATGTGGCAAGGTTGATTAGCCCATTTTACAGATGAGAAAACTGAGGCCCAAAGAGAAGGAAAGAAAAGCTGGAATGTGAACATAGATGTGTCCACGCCCTATCACATGCTCTCTGCTCTCCAAAGGTGGGGAGGTAGGTGGAGAATGACAACCGATTAGCCATGTCTAAGCCAGGATGATGATGATGATGATGATGATGATGATGATTAGGTGATTATGATGAGGATAGCCTACTTGTTGACCGTGTACTCATGCCAGAGCCTCTTACCTACCAGTATAAGGGCTTCACAAACCTTGCCTGATTGAATTCTCACCAGATCTTTATGAGGGAGGGGGTGCCAACATTCTCCCATTTTACAGATGAGGAAACTGAGGCCCAAAGAGGAAAGCAGCTGGCTCAAGGACTCCCAGCGGGCTGATGGTCAAGCAGGATTCGACTGTAGAGCCCTCACCTCTTCTAAATCTCTCCCAAGTCCCTCATTTTCTGATGGGGAAACTGAGGCGTAGGGCCACGGGGGTTAGGCTGGGAGAGCTGTGACCCAGCTGGAACAAGAACCCACCTCTCTGGCCCAGGCCCAGTGACCTCAGCTGCCCCTCACGGCTGAGGACAGAGCGTGAGAAGAGCCTGACCTCAGACTCCCAGCTGTCAGGCCTGCCCTTCACCCGGGGACAGAGAACACAGGGTGTTTCGGAGGGCAGTGGCGGGACTCCGGTCAATCACGCCAGGGGCTCTGGGAGGACAGGCCACTCTCTGTCTCCCTGGGGCAGCAGGCAAGGGGGGCAGATGTGGGCCATGACAGCAAAGGAATCTCCTACTCCCAGCTGTGCAGACTGTAGAGAGGGAGGCAGCTTATGCTTATACTAGAGGCCTGGTGCACAAATTTGTGCGCAGGTGGGGTCCCTCGGCGTGGCCTGTGGGGATTGGGCTGAAACCAGCAGTCCAACGCCGCCTGCTGCTCCTGCCTGCCACTCCCCGTAATCCCCGCCCCACTGCCCTGCCACGGGCTCACACACAGTGAGAGGCTCGCTCTGCTGTGTCTGGTGCCTGTCCTGAGGGGGTGGAGGGGAGGGGCCGGACACAATTGGCCCTCTGGGTGAGCAGTGGGACACCCTTGCAGGCTCAGAATCTAGATCCTTCCCACTGACCTTCACACCTGTTGTCGGCAGCCACCTGGCAGCCACTTTTATATACTTTCTTCCTTGTGGAGCGTCTAAGGAGGGGAAGCGGCCCAGTGCCCGAGGCCGACTCCCAGGAGGATTGTGGGGTTGTGGGATTGTGCAGGCGGCACCAGTCCGCCAGTGCCTGGCCCCTTCTCTGGAGATTGGACCTGCAGGACTTCTGAGGGAGGGAGTGGCTGCTGCCAGGCTGGTGGGCCACCTGGATGGGTTGGTCAGCTGAGTGGCACTCCCGCTAGGGAAGTGCACTGACCACCAGGGGGCAGCTCCTGCGTTGAGCGTCTGCCCCTTGGTGGTCAGTGTGCATCATAGAGACCAGTCGACCAGTTGTTCGGTCGATTAGTTGCTTAAACTTTTTTTTATATATAGATGGGCTGTGTGACTTCAAAGACAGTCTCACTGCTCTGGGCCTCCTCGTCGATGATGATGATGACGATGACGATGGTAACGATGCTTCTGTGGTCCTGGCTTCAGTCCTTTGCACATGGTTTTATGGTCGCACTAACCCTATGAGGCAGGTACTGTTATTTTGCCCATTTTGTGCACAAGGAAGCACAGAGAGATCAAAGCACCCAGGGCCACACCGCTAGGAAGCGGCAGAGCTGGGATTCAAACCACACCCTCTGGCTCCAGTGCCAGCCTTGCCGGGTTCCTTGCTGAGAGGATTAGGTTGAATGTGAATAACCCCCACACCTGCTCCCTGGCTCGTCAGTGTCAGCCCATCGGCCCTCTCCGGGGAAACCAAACCTGCTCCTGCTCTGAGACTTCGCACACGCTGTTCCCTCGGCTGGAGTGCTCTTCCCCTCGACCGGCTGGCTGTTTTTTTCTCAGCTCAGTGTCCTCTCCTCACAAAGACCCTTCCTTACCTGCTCGTACCTACCACCCCCCATTCTCTCTCATCACCCTGTGCTTATTGCCTCACTGGCCCTTTGTGATCTGAAAATATCCTGTCACTTCATCACCTGCTCCTCTCTTGTCTGCCCTCTGTGAGGTAAGCTCTTGAGGTGGCAACCGGGTAGGTCCATGGGGCCCAGAGCAAGGCCAGCGGGGGGCTTGGTGAACTCTGCGGGGAGTTGGGGTGACAGGGGAACTGGCCAGGTGGCTGGAGGAAGGAGGGCAGTGGATGTGTGTGGGAACCTGCAGTCCAAGCCGGGACCGGAAATCGCACATGAGGTCCAGCCGACCTGAAGCTCGACCATGGCCATTGCTTGCTGTTTGATCTGGGCAAGCCCCCTCGCCTCCCTGGCCCTGAATTCTAATCCATACAACAAGGGTTGGGGCAAGACGATTTCTGAGGTGTTACCCATCTCTGTCCGGCTCAGCCTAGAAGATGGAGTCCTAGACAGACAGACAGGACAGACAGACAGGACAGACGGGACAGCTCAGTGCTGGGGTGGGCCGGGCGGAGAGCGTGCGTGCAGCAGCTTTGGCATTATATATATATATATAAATAATAATAACACGGTTGCGGCGCTAAGGGAGATTTATGGAGCCCTTTCCCAGCCATGAGCTCCGTGAGCTTCCGCGAATATGAAGCCATTTATCTAAAGACAAGTTCCCTTAATCCACGGAAAGATGGTTTCCTCGGAGAAAATGGTTCTCCAATCCCCACAGCCTAACAGCTCGCTGTCAGCTTCTAAATTAATGGAGAGAAAGATGATGTTTTTCATGAGCTGCTGGGAATGGGCTGGCCCCTCTGCAGCCTGCAGGCATTTTGCAAGGGAAGCCGGCACAGCAGAACCCCAAAATGGGGCCCGAGGGGCTGGAGTGAGGGGGCTGCTGGGTCCGGGTTGGCTGATGGCCTCGCTGCCTGGGCCCAGTTCTCCTGGGCAAGGAGATGCTTGGAGGAGGCTCTCTCAAGTTCACATCCCAGCTTCTCCCTTGCAGGGTGACCTGGGCAAAGGATTGCATGTCTCTGAGCCTCAGTTTCCTCCTCTGTCCAATGGGCTGTGGGTATCGCATGTGATCAGGTGGGAGACACGAAGGGCCTGGCAGACCGGCCGTGCTCAATACACGTTAGCAGACTCCTCTCTCTAATGCAGTACAAGAGCCTGCATGTTCTGCTCTCACCAAGGTGTTTGTGACCACCTGGTACAACCGTGCGTCTTACAGGGGGAGAAATGAGTCCCAGGGAGGCCTAAGTCCCCACGGGCCCTGGTGCCTGAAGTTCCCAGGAGCTGGGGACTGTTCCCGTGGCAGGTGTGTGCCCTGGTGCGGAGAGGGAAACAAACCACTGGCATCACCGTCAGCAAAGGAGATTACGGCCACCTGAGGGCCCTGCCATCTGGGGGCGTGTTACTAATTCCATCCAGCCGTGCGTGGTCTTCGAGTCCTCTCTCTGCTCGGGGAGGCCCATCCTGTCCTCACGGAGCCCCGTGGCCCCACTCCCAGCCTGAACCCCACCTCCCTCTCTTGTCTCCCAGATGGCCTGGTTCCACATGGACTGTCAGGACCTGATGACCCAGCTCCAGCTGGGCAAGGACCCGAAGGCCAGCCCCGGGGGCCAGCGCCGCCTCCACCGCTACCTGCAGCGCCTGTCGTCCGAGTTCCCTGCCGAGAAGCTCACGGCCATGGGGCTGCAGGCGGCCTCGCTGAGCCGGGAGGACCTGGGCCGGGACCTGTGGGAGGAGGCCCGGGCGAGGCACGCGGAGATCCAGACCCTCCTGAAGAAGGCACTGGCCCACTGTCCATGCCCACTGGGCCCCGGTGCCCACCCGGCACACTGGGAACTGCAGCGGCCCGCCTCCAAGGGCCACGGTGTGAATGGGGAAGGCACTCCCACGGGAAGGCGGGAGCCGCCCCTCCAGGACTGCCTGGGCCTGGCCCCGTCACCAAAGCCGCCCCGCTGGCCTCCGCGGGCCCAGAGAGGCGGGCAGAACAGACATCTCCGGGCAGGCCCGCTGCCCCCGGACGCTGGCCAGGCCACAGAGGCTGGTGAAGGCAAGGGCCCTCGCGAGCCCCTTGATCCTGCTGCCCCTGAGCGGTTCCTCACCTCCCTCTTCTCCTGGCAGCGGCTCCCCAGGCAGAGGCAGATCCCCCACCCCACCGGGGGCAGCTCCTCCTCAGAGGGGACAGACTCACGGACGTCTCTGGAGGACTCGCCCCAGACGAGCCCCCCTGCCTCCCTCTAGCTGGGAGCAGAGCCCCCCTCCCACCCCTCGCACTGTACCAGACTCCAGGGGTGCGGGCTGGGCCTGTTGCGGAGGGACCCAGCCCATCGGGCCTGGGCTCCTGAGCACTCACAGTGTGCATGGCCCGAACGGAGGGGCCGAGAATCAGCAAGCAGCAGGAAGCTCTGAGAAGTCGGGACCCTGGGAGGGCAGGGCAGGGCAGGGCACTGCAGAGCTGGGGGTGGCTCCCTCGCCCCAGTCCAGACCCCTCCAGAGGGCTCAGCCATAGGCAGGCCACCCAGGGGCACCCAGCTTCCCCTTGGGGGACAAGGGGCATCGCTGCCCTCACACAGAACCGTGAGAGAGAGATTCGGGAGTGGCTTCTGGTCTCAGGAACCCACTGAACAGACCCCGCAGCAAGGATCCAGGTGCATGTGTGTTTGACAGTCACCCCAGGAGCCACCGGCGGAGGTGAGCCCGGGAAAGGAATAAAGGGGGTGTTGTTGAGCAAATCACTGCACGCAGCTCATTGTGCCATTGGCCTCATCACCTGCTGGGGAGAGTTAGGGTCCCAGGGAGGGGGAGGAGGAGGGGGAGAGGGAGGGGGAAAGCCTGCTGCCTTTCCGCTCTCCATCTTACTCAGCAGCTCCAACTGCTGCAGACCTCACGTCTCAGGATCCCACAGCCTGGTCCTTGCCCTCCAGCGAGAGCCCTCAACTCCCTGATGTTCTGGCTTCTCTTCTCCCCTCCCCACCACGTCTCCCCAGACACTGTCTCTCCCCCCACTCCCCCAGGCTTCACCTGTCTTCAGACTCAGTCTCTGGTGCCCAGAGTCCCAGCTTCTGCTGGTGGTAGGGACCGGACAAAGGCAGGAGCCACGTCCCCGCGCCAGCAGATGGTGCCGAGGGATGGGGGACAATGGCAGAGGCCTTCACACCTGGGATCCGAGCGGAGAAGACAGTAAGCCTTCCACCGCCCGGAGTAAGCCAGCCAGCGCCTTCCCTGAACGTCACTGCCCTGCGAGCCAGGGCCGGCCTCTGCCCCGGGACGCTTTCCCAGCACGGCCCTGCCAGCCTCGCCTGGACCTTTCCTGGCTGTGGGGAGAGGGTGCGGCACATGTTCTCCCACAGATGAGCCTGTGGAAGGAGAGGGAGGCAGCCCTGGAGCGGGCCCAGGAAGACGAACAGGGTTTCTCAGGAGTTGTCACAGCAGAGAGAGCCACACAAACCTCAATGCCCAGAGTGACTGCAGGACCTTCCGAGATTCAGGTGTGGCTTGGGGCCTGCCTGCCTCCGAGCCAGTAGCCGGGCTGATTTAAGGCTGCTTCCACAGGAGCCCCCCTGATCATTGAAATCGGACCCTCGGGGCCATCGGTGGCTGGAATCCGCATTCGTACCCATCAGCTCAGGGGTTTGCGATGCACACAGAGCAGGGGGGCTGCTGTCTGCACACCCGGGAGGGGGGGGAAGGGAGTGGAGGGCTGAGGGCTGAGGGAGCCCCCCACCCCAAGCCAGCTCTCATTCTTACATTCGTCTCTCCTGCCTTCCATCCAGACAGGCCTGAGACTGCAGGAGACATTTGATCAGCCAATCTCCATCTAGGCCCGACACCTCAGAGGGGGGCCGAAGGCTCTTAAAATGCTGTTGCCATAGCAACAGCATCCAGCAAGTAGGGACCACAGGCAGGGAGCCAGGGTACCTGGGGTGCAAGGATCGAAACTGACTTCAGAGGAGAGACTATAGCTACTGTGAGGGAAAGGGGGGGGGGGGGCCTGAGGGAATGAGTGATCTGAGAATCCTTGGGAGGGAGGGGACCCCAAAGCCATCTTGTGCATCCCGCTGTCTCCAAAGAGAACAGCCTGTTTACTCACATCAGCTCCTGGGGAAAAGGGGGTCCAGAAAGGAAATGTAATAATCATAACAAAAAAGAATGAATCATAATCACATGAATAGCTAACCTTTATCTGCATTTTCCCTGTGCCCAGCATGCTACTAAGCCCTTTATTTTATTTTATTTTTTAAATAGTTCTTTATTGTTGAAAGTATTACATATGTTCCCCTTTTTTCCTCCATTGCCCCCCCCCCCCGAAGCCCGCCCCTGCCTCTTTCCCTCCCCACCCCAGGCCTTCATCATCCTATTGTCTGCATCCATATATATATAGTCAACCAAAGACTATATATATATAGTCTTTGGTTGACTACCTCCCACCCACCCACCATCCTTGCCTTCCCTCTGAGATTTGGCACTCTGTTCCATGCTTCCATGTCTCTGAATCCACTCAGCAATTTGTTACTCAGATTCCACATATGAGTGAGATCATGTGATACTTGTCTTTCTCTGACTTATTTCACTGCTAAGCCCTTTAAAAGCTTTACAGGGGTATAGCATTTTTCTTTGCAATCCTATGAAGCCAACGCTAATCTCACCCCATTTTAATAAGGAGGAAACTGAGACTCAGAGAGGTGTGGGGGGCTTTGCCCAGTGACACCCAGAGAGTGGCAGAGCTGAGACTTGGTACAACTGAGGCCTCTAACTCCCCCATTGACAAGCCTGGGCTAGTTGCTGGGTCTGAGTGTCCACAGGCTTTGTCCCCTCAGCAGTCCTGCTGTGCCTGGCCACTGCCCTGTCCCCAGGGGCCTTGGCTGGGCTGGGCTTGGTCCTTTGGGCAGTACTCATATCCAGTCTCTTGTAACATACATGGCAGTGTGGTCCAGTGGTCAGTCATGTGGCTCTGGAGTTGGACGGAACCCGTTTCTGCCCAGACTCCACCGCTCACAAGCTGTGAATCCGTGGCCAACCATCTCTGTGCCTTGCTTCTCTCCTGGCAAATGAGAATAATCAGACCTCAGAGGCTTGCTCTTTTTTAGCATGTGGAAAGCCCTGAGAAAGGTGCCTGGAACATAGTAAGTGCTCGTTGAATGGTATCTAGTGTTATCATTAGGCATCAGCCCAGCCAGTCCCTGCTTCTACTACCGACAAATTAAGGAATAAATTTCTCCAGAGGCTACCAATAAATTCCTGAAGAGTTTTTCACTCTTTGAATTGTATAGATTTCCTAATCAGTTTTCTGGATCCCCGGTTGTTTCTTGAAGTCCAAAGAGACCTGGTTTATTGACTTTTGCGCTAACCTGCCCATGATGGGGGTCTGGGGAGACCTCCCCCAATATGCCCTTCTAGTGACAACAATGCTCTGCATCAGTAAAGCCTCAGCCCCTGATAGGCTACTCTGAGCCTGGACAGGTAGCTCAGTTGGTTAGAGCATCATCCCAGTATGCCAAGGTTGTAGGTTCAATACTGGTCAGGGCACCAACAAGAATCAACCAATGAATGCATAAACAGGTGGGACACAAATTGATGTCTCTCTCAAATCAATAAATAAACATTTGTAAAAAGAGGATGTGGGGTGCAATGTCTCTCTGTGGAATTTTTTTTTAATATATTTTATTGATTTTTTTACAGAGAGGAAGGGAGAGAGAGAGAGAGATAGAAACATCGATGAGAGAGAGTCATCGATCAGCTGCCTCTTGCACACCCCCTACTGGGGATATGCCCGCAACCAAGGTACATGCCCTTGACCGGAATCGAACTTGGGACTTTTCAGTCCCCAAGCCGACGCTCTATCCATTGAGCCAAACCGGTTTCGGCTCTCTGTGGAATTTTTGAGAGAGTTTGCAGCCTCTTCTGGAGGGAGGAATATGGGCTGACAAGGAACCCCAACTCTGCCAGTGACTATGAATATCCCACTGTGATAGGAGCCCCTTTTTAAACTCTAGGGGTTGGTGGGCAAGGGGTGGCAGAAAGGCCGTGGCCTGGGATTCAGAACCTCATGTGCCACTTCTGCCCTATTTCCGACTGCTGTTGCTTCCCCTCTCTGGCTCTCAGTTTTCCCTACCTGTCCAATGGGGACATCGAATGGATAAGGATATTTTTCATTTTTGGACTGAAAGGGCCCTACCTTTTAATCCAGGCTTAACAGTCAGTGAGTGTGAGCAGAGGGCTGCCCCTCAGTTTTCCCCATCTGTCTAATGGGCTGGTCAAACCTGCTGGGCCAGGACAGTAAGAGCTCTGGACCCTGGGCTCCACACCAGACCTTTTCCTTCTCCAGAGGGTGGTTGTCTTGTGAAGGAGCAAAGCCTAGATGTCCCCAGAGCAGTGGCATGGAGCACAGTAGGACTGAAGTGTAGGCACTTTACAGATTTCAAAGTACTTTTGCTTCCATCCATTTCCTCATCCAACATTTACTACAACTTTGGAGTGCACAAAAGTCATACCCTAGGACAGTGTTCGGCAAACTCATTAGTCAACAGAGCCAAATATCAATAGTACGAAGATTGAAATTTCTTTTAAGAGCCAAATTTTTTAAACTTAAACTTCTTCTAATGCCACTTCTTCAAAATAGACTCGCCCAGGCCGTGGTATTTTGTGAAGAGCCACACTCAAGAGGCCAAAGAGCCACATGTGGCTTGTGAGCCGCAGTTTGCGGACCTCAGCATAGGATGTCCCCATTTTACGTGTGAAAAGGCTGGAGCAGGAGAGGGGAGGGGATTGCCCAAGGCCACAGGGCAAGGGAAGGGATGGAGAAGGGGAAACCTCAAAATCTGGACCTGGTTCTCACTAATGCCAAATCCGGGAGCCTCCATCTTGTCCGCATCTTGAGGTAGGCACCCCACACCCTTGTACCCTCAAGCTGCCCACATCAGACCCAGACAGGACAGCTGGCTGGGGTCAGGGTACAGGCAGCCCTCATGAAACAGAGCTGTTCTGTCCTCTGGGGGCTGTGAACTGGCTACCAGCCCAGGACAAGCTCATCGGTCCTGAAACCCCACCCTCTCGCAGCTGAAAAATAGCTCTCTGCGGCCAGAGCCTGTGGCCCCACGCGGAGGAAGTGGCAGGGCTGGTGGCAGGGCTCCTAGTGCCACTCCCTCTGTCTAGGGTGTGATGGGGGACCCTGCAGGGACCACTGTACTTCCTTAGGCCTCCCTTTCCCCTCCTGTGAAATGGGGGCGGGGAATGGGCAGACCAAGGGACAATGGCAAATTGGTCACTTTGCATGTGGAACTCCTGACCTGCCCTCCCAGTCCTGCTTCCCTCTCTCTTCACTGACCACCATCCATGCAGGTGCCCAGGCTGGAAACCTGCAAGTTTTCCCTGAATTTCCCCAGAGCTCTCTCTAACCCCCACCCCCATCTCTCTCTAACCTTAAATTTCTGTCTCCGTCGCCTTCCCCACCCTCATCCCAGCCTTCACCCCCTCTCCCGTGGGTGGCTGTTACAGTGTCCCCCATGGTCTTCCTGCAGCCACCTGGGCCCCGCTCATCTGTCCCCCACACAGAAGCTGGGGGGACCTTTGCAAATGTAAAATAATGGGGCACCAAAGCACCAACAACAAAAGTAAAAATGGATCAGTTGGGCTTCATCACAACAAGAGACATTTGGCTATCGAATGACATTATCCGGAAATAGAAAGGGCAACCTACAGAATAGGAGAAAACATTCGCAAATCATATATATGATAAGGGTTTAACACCTAGGATATATGAACAACCCAACAACTAAAAGATAAACATCCAATTAAAAAGTGTGCAAAACAGAAACCAGTTTGGCTCAGTGGATAGAGCGTCAGCCTGTGGATTGAAGGGCCCTGGGTTCGATTCTGATCAAGGGCATGTACCTTGGTTGCGGGCACATCCCCAGTGGGGGGCATGCAAGAGGCAGCTGATCGATGACTCTCATTGATGTTTCTAACTCTCTATTTCTCTCCCTTCCTCTTTAAAAAAAAAATTATATATATATATATATATATATATATGTATATATATATATGTATATATATATATGTATGTATATATATATATATATATATATATATATATATATATATATATATATCTGATGTGGGCAGCTTGAGGGTACAAGGGTGTGGGGTGCCTACCTCAAGATGCGGACAAGATGGAGGCTCCCGGATTTGGCATTAGTGAGAACCAGGTCCAGATTTTGAGGTTACCCCTTCTCCATCCCTTCCCTTGCCCTGTGGCCTTGGGCAATCCCCTCCCTTCTCCTGCTCCAGCCTTTTCACATGTATATTTAAAAGTGTGCAAAGAACTTGAATAGACGTTTCTCCAAAGAAGATGTACCAATGGCCAGCAAGCCCATAAAGAGATGCTCACCGCAATTCGTCCTTAGGGAAATGCAAATAAACCGCTGTGTGATACTACCTCACACCCACTAGGATGGCTGTGATCAAAACAGCGGAAAATAACAAATGTGGGTGATGATGTAGATAAATTGGGCCCCTTATGCAATGTTAGTGGGGATGTGAAATGGTGTAACATCTATGAAAAAGTGAGACTGCTCTTCTAAAAGGTCAACAAAGGATGACCCAGCAATTCTACTCCTGGTACATACCCTAAAGAATTGAAAACAGATGCAAGCAGATACTTCTATGCCAATGCTCATTGCAGCATTACTCACGATAGCTAAAAGCTGAAATAACCCAAGTGTCCATCAGCAAACTGTGGTGTTTACAGAAAAGGGAATACTATCCAGCCATAAAAAGGGATGAAGTTCTGATCATCGATGCAGATGATCCTTGAAAACATTATGCTAAGTGAATTAAGACAAAATGGATCAATATTGTATGATTCTGTTATATGAAATATCTAGAATAGGCAAATTCATAGAGACATTATTGGTTAGAGGTTACCAGGGCCTGGGAAGAGGGCAGAATGAGGAATTATTTAACTAGAAGCCCGAATCACAAAATTCGTGCAAGGAGCTTGATCCCTCACAGCCCTGGCTTCTCTTCTATCTGCTGTTCGGTCTAGTAAGCATATTAGCTCTTTATTATATAAGATAATAATTAATGATAATTACCAGAGTTCCTGTTTGGAGTGATAAAAAGTTTGGGAAATATATATGATCATTGCACATTGCAAATATAATTAATGCCACTGAATTATGAATGGCTAAAATGGCAAATTTTATATTATACATATTTTACCATAATAAATTTTTTAAATAAAAGTATTGACACACACACAACA